GGCTATGCTTTGGCATGTTATACATTATTTTTCTTTCGATTTCTATTTCGGCATTGATAATACATAGAGAATATAACGCAAATAGTAATCGTAATTAACAAACTTTAACGAACGAAAAAAGTCAACAATTGCAACCAATTCTATACAAAAGACATATTTGTTCTGTAACGAAGAACACATATATAAAATTAACTTGTTTAACTTTAATACTAATGATCAAATAAATGAGGATAAACTTCGAAAAAAAATCAATCTGTTCAACCATAAATTTTACCGTCAAGGAATATTTGTAAAACACCACAGCAACTTGGAAAAATTGGACTGGACGAACGCTTTCCTCAATCATCAGTCCTCTCGTACTTTTCTTATCACTAACAGTGCGCGGATGACTCAGCTAAAGTGGACCATCGATCATCCTTAGAAGATATGCGGCGCGAGCTGTAGCTTCCAAAGAGAGACCGGTCTGGCGAACACCGTGACTTGGCCCTTTTCTTTGCCACCAACCAAAAAAACATACAAAGGTGCTGGTCCGTAAGAAGGTGTTTTAGCGTCGGTTGCATCCACCGCCGCTACCTTAGCCCTTTGCCTCTCAGCTCTCGACGCGCTCACCGCTCTTCTCGATGGCGAACCCAATGGCAAGCTCTTCGGTGGCGCTCGGGGTACCCTTCTAATCTCTTGAAGCTCCAAGAGCTCCGCAAATGTTTGTGAAGCCGATCTTCCAGGTTCATCCTCTAATACGCTATCGGGCGGACTGTTGAGCAACTTGGCATACTTTCCATCCTGTTGTTGTTGCTGTTGTTGTTGTTGCTGCTGCTGCTGCTGCTGCTGCTGCTGTTGATGATGATGATGATGATGGTGGTGGTGGTGATGATGATGATGGCCAGATTTTGTTTCGTCCAGACCAAGGTAATTCGGATTACAGAAACCGAATTGGCCCTCTCGTATCGTCGACGAAGTGACAATCGGTCTGTGTGGCTTTGATCTTCTTCCGGACACCCAGTCATCTTCCGCGAGCGGATCACCCGGACTTCTCGCTTCGATACTCGCGTAATCCGATGTCGATTCTTCGCCTTCTTCAAGATCGGCGAATCGAACGGAGGCGGACGTAGGGATCTTCGTCGTTGTCGGAGTTTTTGGCGTTTGCAGAGCGGCTTCGTAAAGATGCGAGCTGTAACTCTCACCGCGAGTGGGTTGACAAGCTTGGTGAATCGCTGCGAAATCCCTGTAACGAACGGATGTAAGAATCTTAATGCTTAATAAAAATGCATGTATTTTATAAAGGCAGTTACCGTCTTTCTTCTTGAACTTCAATCAGTCTCGACGTGGGCGGTTCCTTGCGCTCCTCGTTGTCACTATTCTCATCTGGATCAACGAAGACCAATCTAGCAGCCTCTACAGGCGTGAGAACAGGAGTTGGTAACGTCAAAGCACGAAAGTTTGGCACCGAAATAGGATCTCTGGTCATACCAGAAGTATTGTTAATATTGCTAACGTCAACCGTCCTCGCCGCTCCTTCCGACGCTTTTTGTCTTCGGCGGGCCAGCGTGTTGGCGCTGCGAGATTTTACCATTCCCGTGGAGGGCTCGACCACTTCGACGTCCACTTGCTGAAAAGGATAATACGTATTTGCCTGCATGCAGGCCTAATTGGAAGATAAGTGCGCATCTACTAACAATGAGAACATATATTTCGAGGGTTTTTACGTTGATACACGTACCTCTTGAGGGCTTTCTTCATTATCGTCATGTCCACTGAGAACTGAATAACTGCACTTCGTCGGATGACTGAGCCTCGACAGATTTATTTGCGATAATTTTGAAATTTCCCTGAGAAAGCTGGGTCTGGCAGAGGGTGCCTCGTTTGGTGATATTCTATTGCTCGACAGCCTAGGCCTTTGGTTTCTCAGCCTCGGTTTGGAATTGTCGATACCTGTTCCACGAATCAGCAATTCGGATACTGCGAGAGCGACGCTTTCAGCTCTCGGTTGCGGTTTTGGTCCTGGTACTGATAGCTTCTCCCAGGTTTCTGTGCCTGTGTCGAAATATTTAAATACTTTACATCATGAAATGTTTAAAGTTTAAATAACAATTAAAAATAATTACTTTCAATATACACTTATTTATGTTGCGTGAATAACGTATTTAACTATTTTTAATATCTACTTGCTCATTTCTTTGGCTAATTTATTAATTTCCTTAAACCTGATTTTATTGGAACCATGATAAAAACATTTCTTTTGAATTTAATTCAAGGGCACTTTAATAAAATAATTCATACTAAACAATCTTTTCCAAAATTTTTTCCTATTTTTTTATGTACGTCTGATCTTAGATAATGTTAATAGAATGAAATAATTTCAACGGATAATATCTTCAAATTTGGTATTTACATGTACATTATAATAGGGTCTAAAGGTTGATTGCTTTACATATATGGCGATGTGGCAACGCATACCGAAATGAAATCTCCATAGCTCGTTTGTCGCCAAACCACCGCTCTCACCGCCAAAGATCAACATGCAACTTGGCAATCTGCACGCTGCGTGGCCATGAAGAGGTCCGGGACCTGGTTTGTTCTTCAGCATGGACCACGAAGCACTGTTCACGTCCCATCGCCAGCAATCGTTCCTTTCTTGAAGATCCGTCATCCCACCGTAAATGTACATCGCATCACCGTGCAAAACCGCCGAATGCTTATGTCTTGCAGCCGGCCCGCTTTCGCTCGACGAAAGCAGATGCCAAGATTCAGTTTCTGCAATTAAAGTTCGGAACAAGTTCGGAGTTGCTATGCATTATTATTGATCGAGTTATATATAAGATACATAGCGAGTGTTATACCGAAATGAAAAGACCACAGTTCTGAGGAGCTTCCACGTAAGTCTTGATAACCGCCGTATATGAGCATTTGTCCGCGATGTACCAAGGCGGTGTGGCCTCTTCGACCTCTAGGAATCACGCAACCTCGTTGAGCTCTCACCTTTCTCCATACACTTGTCTGAAAAATATAATCATTCATAATCGGATTACTTAATTTTTTAATGTTTGAATTATTTCTCTTAAGGATTTGTTTTTCCAATTACGAACGAACTTGATTCTACATCTCTGCGAATACTCGTAAAGATGATATATAAGACCGGTCTGCAACAAAAGGGGTAGAGCTCTCTAATTTGTAGCCCTCCAATTCTACCGTTTGAATAGCCTCGGCTTTAACTCTTGGAGCTGCGATAATCGCCATTGCCACCGCCAGTGAATAGAGATGCGAAAATTATTCTCTCACTAGTTGCTACGCGACTTCTGATAAATATTTCATTCGTCTAAACGTATGCTTACAAAGTATGTACTATAGTAAAACTTTGACTTTTGTTTAAGTATTCATTAAAGAAATATCTCTGTCTCTCTCTCTCTCTCTCTCTTTTGTTTTTAATACTTTTTAAATAATTTATATGTTAATAAAAACAAAGTAGAAATGATATTTTATCGTTTAACTGCGTAACATTTAAAAGTATGTATAAAATATTAAATTGTCTTGCAATATTCTATTTCATGCGAAAAATATTTATTTATACGAATTGATATTTATTTATATGATTCACACTGATGTTGCAGATGTAGCGTAGCAACATACGTAAAATTATTGCAGACGAGAGGCGTAGTCGGTATTCACTGGTGAATATTTGAGCTTGGTAACGCAAGCATTCATAACTCGAGCTTTCATCCAGTCACTAAAAGCATGGCGGCTGGTTGAAGGAATGTACGCAATATGATATGCAAAGTCATAGGCAAAGTATTATAAAATCTTTAAGACACACTACTCTTCTGATAGTAACGTGGATGTATCAGACAATATAT